AATAACGCCGAAATTAATACTCGGCGTTCCACAGGAACCCCGAGTAAAAATGGTATAACATGGAAACAAAATCATGAATTATGCGGGATTATGCGCGATTTGGTAAATTATGCGGAAAGGGGGCAATTATGCGCGTCCGCATCCGCGCATAATTCCGACATGCCTGTATAATGTGTTGCTCGTATAATGTCATGACAACCTCATATAATGTTTTGTTCGTATAATGTCATGACAACCTCATATAATGTTATGTTCGTATAATGTCATGACCACCTCATATAATGTTTTGTTCGTATAATGTCATGACCTATGGCGTACGATCCCCGCCAAAATTCATATTATGAAATTKACATTCGTCGTTCCGTTTTTTTCACTCCAAATTCGGTATTAGACTGTTGAACTCCAAATTTTCAACTCTTTTTTWTAATTTTACWGTTATTAAGCAATTTTTACGCTCGACTTTATATATTTTTAACTCGACTTATCAAATTTCATACTCCAAATATGGTATGACGTACGAACACCGCCAAAATTATTCAACTCCAGTTCAAAATTTTACACTCGTCGCACAAATTCTCACATGAAATAAAAATGTTTAATTCGGAATTTTAAATGACCAAGATTTTTAGGAAAACAGTTCTTTCGTCTTTGATATACACAAAACTATTTGAACTGAAACAGAATTCTCGAACATTTGCTCGAACATGCAGCGCGACTCGACTTCGAATATTTTCGACTCGTTCACGCTTCAGTGACTTTGAGTCACGTGCTTATACCCAGGCTCTATCGTCCAACGCGCACGTGGAAATCTACCCACCAAGTGGAGAAGGTATGAATATGAAGACCGCATGGCACTATGATAAACACGATATAGAAATGAAAGAAAGTTATAGTGCTTAGAAGGAGGCAATTCCKGGAGAAGTCCCTTAGGAATAAATTTCCGACCTCGCTGGGATYCGAACCCACGACCTTCGGATTTGTACACCGATGCTCTACCAGCTGAGCTACAAGGCCAGACTGGGAGCAGGTAACATCTATTTCACCCCGACCTGCTCCCAGTCTGGCCTTGTAGCTCAAGTGGAGAAGGTGTTTGGAGCTCTATAGTCCTGTCGTGTTCTTGGTTTTCTCGCTTTCAGTGTCAATTATGGATCGTATCAATGAGACCAAAGAAAGGTTGTTGCGAGTGGCGGGAGAGCTCTTGACTCTTGCCGATCAAGAACTGTAAGTAAAAACCGCCTACAAGTAATTTTTTTAAAGAACTGGCATGATTTCGCACCTTTGCGTTATGCGAAGCTCGAAAGTGTTTACATCTGATCTAAATCACTTTTAAGCCTAAATGCCAAGAATACTTGCTTTTAATGAAAGGAGAAGAATTGCTATTGATCTTCTATTGATATTTTAGCCGGAAAACATCTAAAATAGAGAATCTTTGGCTTGAAAGTAAGGGTAGAATATGAGGTCAAACTTTTTTGTCACCTATTTTGAACCGTAGATTTGATGCTGGAAAAACTGAAATCCTTTTTATCCCTCGCTTTTTCTCGAGAAAACGCCGAATTTAACTTTTATTAAAAAAATACTTGAAAAATAACAGTTACTAGCAGCAAGTAAGGTATTTGTCTTGTGTAATAGAGAAGTTTTAAGGTAATACCGGACCTTTGCCACTGCGCATTGCATGCGCGCATGTTAAGATAACTAACGGCCGGTTCACACTATGACATAAGCAGAAACCGAAGCAGAAGCTTGCTCACACTTTTCTGCTTATGATGCTTATGAAAAAGTTGTTTTTGCTTGTCTCTGCTTCTGTTTGACCCGGTTCACACATTCAAAATACACTCAAAGTCACTGAAGCGTGAACGAGTCGAAAATAT